GTTAATGTAAAATGCTAATGAACTCCTTTACATTTGCCACAATCATCTCGTTACTCTGTTTCTTCAGAAGCCACATGGCTGGGGAGACCATGTCTTCAAGAACGTACATCTCCTCATCAAGTGAACTAGATCTAGCTATCTCCACCATACACTTTGTCATGTTTTGTAGATAATTCAATTTGTGAGGGGGTTCTCTTTCAAGTGTCTCAATGATAATATCAGAAATAAATTTGAAGATCTTGGCGAGTTCAGTTTTTCCTGGAGCAGCATATTCGACTGTTTTATCAGAGGATATCTTGCTAAGCTCGTTGAAGACCAGTTTGTACTTCAAGGGATATCTGGTCATTAGCCAGAGCACTTTAAGAAGGGGTGGATCAATAGGGTTTACACAAATAGCTGGTCCAAGCACATCGTTAACAAGCATGTTCTCTAGTCTTGATACGTCCAGATTGTGGGACTCTGGGAACACAATTACACTGTTCATGAATGTTAAAAAATAATCCAACATGCTTTTGTGCTTCTTCATCTTCCCCCAGATGATTGGGAGGATGTTTCCTATCTTTTCTGGAGTAAGGAAGTTTAACTCATGCTCACGAATCATGATTATGAATGTGTAGATAATGTTACCGATCAAGTCATGATGGTCAGTACACTGCAAGCCGTGTAATAAAGAGTCCACAGTTTTGAACTTGTTGTTCATATCTTGAAGTTCATCCAAAGTGCCGGCACTGATGATGACATGAAGTGTCTTGATGCTTGTATGAAAAGCACATTTCTGACTCGAAAACCCCTCTGGGAAAATGGTCATGCTGCTAAAAGATTCCTCCTGTGCAACAACAAAATGATTTATGTGCGAGGCAGTGAAGGTCATCACCATTTCTAAAAGATGGAAGTCTGCTGTTTTAACATCCACATGATTAAGTGTGAGAAGACGGATGCGCTGAGGATGCTGCGGAGGCTGACCTGATTCCTGGCTGGGTGATAGTTACAGGTTTGCAGGACGTAGCTGCCAACTTCCGGTAACATTTCCTACCTGAGTTCCAGGTAGAAATACCCAGTGATTACACACAAACACATGCTCCGTCTCACCACCTGGTGATCTGTTTACTGTCAACTGGTGCAGGTGACACTGTTTGGATGGCGTCCCTTCCCGACATCAACACTTCTCTCGGAGTCAGACCCGCACTCTGATGAGTGATGATCACCTAGATCTGCCACACTCGAAGAAGAACAGGTTCCAATTGGTGGATTGGGGCGAAGACCTTCCCGCGTTATTCTTCAATTGAAACTTGTCCGATGAACCAGATTCCCTTCCAGAAGACCCAAAATATTATGGGTTAGTTCCAGCATCCTTCTTGGTTTGAAAAACGCTAATAATAGATCTCATATCCTTCCTTCACCCGACTACTTCCGCAGGAAGATTATCACACATCAAGTCTCGGACATTTTATCGTCCTTCCTGCTAGGAAAACCACTTATTGCACGTGAATATAAAGTCCCTGCTTGAACGTGTATCCACCACTGTAACCTTGCCAGGTGCCAACTACTGAGTATTGTCGAGTCGTCCATGGCCAGATTCTGACCCGTTTTATGGTACCTAAGGAAAGGAGAGAGAAATCGAACTCATCTGTGTTTTTACGCTCGATTTGTTGTGTTGGTGGAGCGGTTCTTGAGTGCCAGAGTTCCGGATCCCCTGAATCTCAGACAGATGGTGGACACGTTAGCACCGTCCCCACAGCAAAGAGGTCGGAGGTTGTTTTTGTAACGATAATTTGTACAAAACCTTATCATGTTCACATCCTCACTTTGAACTGAAAACGTCGACAGATCCACCTGAACTATTGCAGTGATAATTTAAGGCGATAGTTTGAGGTTTCACTGTTATTTGAACGATTTCTCATTTAAAAATAACTACACATAGAAAGCTCTTATGAGTATACCCTGTTTTTGTTGTGCCCAAACTTTGTTTGGAAACCATTATATTTCAAGGAGAAAATTTATAAAGAGGAAAATATAGAAATAGAAAAAAAAGCGTACTAAATGTTCTATCAATAAAATGATATACCTTATTTCCATAATCCAAAACTGTAAAACCTAGGTGATATAATAATCAATATTATTATATAATATTCAATGGTATACTTTTATTTATTACTGTCTCAATCCACTCATTGTGGCGAAAATGAATTCTTCTCCAGAAATCACTGGTTTCTTCAAAGTGATCTTGTCCGAAAAGCCATTATTTCCACGGTCAGCGACTTCATCTCTTATTTCTGGTTAAAAAAGCCCCCAGGTCGGCAATTCTATCGGAACGTTCTCTGTCATGGCACGCATAAACCGGACTCCATTGTTGCTAGATATTGTAATCTGAAAAACACGGTTCAGGTCATATTAACACCGGTCTCCATTTCAATAATGAAGGTTATTGAAGCAATGGTGAAAAATAAAAAGTTTGGTGACGTTTATATAAAATTTTAATAAGTTTTTATAATGGTTTAACAAAAAAGTTGGAACGTTTTGCGTGTTAAATATTTGCCGCAATATAAAACTTGTCCCAGCAAAGCAAATAAACCGGTTCAGATGACCTTTTCTCTCCAAAAACTTTGACGATAAATGTATCAGTACCAGCTTTTGCCACATCACCGTAAAACTGTCATAACTGTGGTATCTTACTTCCTGGAATTGTGGAGTGGTGATTATGTCCTTGAGATAAAATATGGGATTTGAGAAGGAAAAAACTGAGTACTGGTAGCCACTCCTGTTTATAAAGTTTGTAAGGCCACCACATATGTGTAATTATATGTTTGGCTCCGCGCGATCGTCTCAAATTACGCGGATTATAAGGCGATGAAGTGAGCTTAGTTATCAGAATCTTCAACATGCCTTAAATTGGCAATTTTGAAAACTTTGGTATCCCCGTGTAGGGAAAATTGTTGGCTAAAAGATCTGATAGTTGGCATATCGGTTGTAGGCATTTGAAATCCGCGATGGCGACATAGTCACATTGTGAATAGGTCCATATTCGATTACATAAAGCTAATCATCATTGTATCGAGTCGAAAACAAGAGCGAAATCGTAGGTAGTAAGAACAAAACAAATTCATAAAACTCACGAAACTATGAATGAAATAAAAATTGTCCAAACCCCTAAGTTATTGGATTTAAGAACTTAGAAACCTACCAAATTCCCCAGACGAGGAAGGAATGAACGCCACCAATATTCCTGTCGCCTCTATCTTAGCCAACCTCAGCGCTGACATGGGAAATGGTACCGGGCCCCAGTGGTCGTATCGTGACTTGATGGTCGAGATAAACCACCCCTTCGCTCGCCAGGACCCCGTTGTGCCCAATCATTGACAATTATTTATCAGATCAGATCAGGCAAACTTGACACGAAATTACGAAAATAGAAAGGTGGAACATTTAATGATTCTGATTAAAGCCCTTGAAGAAACAAGACGATTACCACAATGCTGTGATATCCCCGATATCCTGCTCTCCACCTCGAACTCCTGAACCCTGCAGAACAAACACCTCCGCTCCTCCCGTGTATTACCGACCTCAGGTTTCCTCAGAGCTTTCCTCACCCGAATTAAGGACTATGGGTAGGCGTCAGCGCCGTTCCCATGTCCGACTCTGGTCCTGTCTCTATGAACTAAAAATCTGGGAAGGCATATGTGTTTATAAACAGGCAGTGGATGGAAAAAACTATGCCTTTATAAGTCTTTCAGGTGTTAACATCAATTTAGTTTTAATATAACGAACTTTTAATTGTAGAGTCGGTTTGTGGAGCCTCCTCAGGAATGTTCTCGTTTATAGTTTTGCCATCAACTCCTTCAAGGTGATTCCCTCTTCGTTCCTGGAATATAAACAGAAAAAGTGCAACGGTCACATCTAAGTGTGCCTATCAATACATAATTTCCGTTGAGATCAACGAAGCGTTGATGGTTGAATTTGCAAAAAGAGAAAGAAAGAATATTACGAAAAATGCATAGCCAAATTCCTAATTGAACAAATATTACTATACAGATACTGTATTACGATGTTTGGATACATTTTCAGCTGCTTCAACCTGCTCCATGGTCATGCCCTAGGTAGAGGTCCTCTTAATCGTCCTTATCTCCTTTAGACGTGGCGAACCACTGGTACAAGGGAAACTAACTCTCGTCTGACGATAAAATAGTTAGCCCTTCATTACACATTATCTTACAAATGTGATAATATGGACTCATCACAGAAATTATAAGCATGATTATGTTATTGTTATGACCTTAGCAAGAGACAGCTGGGGTTAGTGTATTACAAAGCTAATAGTTTGATTTAAGTTAATTCTTAATTAATTTAATTAAAACGTTAATGCACAGAATATCTCACATTATTGGTGTCAACGACGGTGACACTCTCCACAAACCAGTCCCTCCCATATTACATCAATCCTCCCGCACCACAATCTTATAAATCTGCCCAAACTCCACACAGTCCACGTGAAGGTGTCCACCGGTTCCTCTGGAACTTGTCCCATGTTCTCTGCGCTTGGACAGTTGTCCTCTCTCCGCTGTCTCCGAGGGTGCCGTGGAGACTGATGTAACAGTTCGCGTCCGTGCCCAGCTCCGAACTTGTCTCCAGTCCAGCACTTTTATTGTGTTAGATTCGTCGGAGTGAGGTTGTTTCAAAGAAATTAAACTAGCCCAAGGGTAGGAGTGAGGAACAACGTGGTGTTTATTTAATGTTTTACTCAATGTTTTACGTTTTGGAGATTGGACAACAGGCACCTATATGATATGTGGGTGACGGATATTATTTTCATGAGTGTCATTCGTGTCATAAGTATCTTATTACAATATGAGGAAAGAATGTCAATTAACTTGGGTCCAATGAATGGGGGGCGCAGGTCGCGTCTCTTCGAGAACTTGCAACATGTCAACATTCAAAATATCTTCATAATTTACACAACTTCAATATGTTAATCAATGTAACTGATGTTTGAACGATACACTTACTTTTTAGTTTGCTGGACTCCAAGTTGGTCTCTTCTCCTTTGACAGTTTTCTTCACAACGGTCTCTGCTAACAAATCAACCTGTGATAGATCTAGATGTTCATTTGGTTAACCTTACTCCACCGCCACGTTAAATTGTATGATGAGTTTTAGATTTAAAAATTTTCTGTCAAAAAAACAGCTCATTTCATGAAATCCATATGCATATTAATTGATACCCATGAAATGACTGTGACACTTTAACCTATACTTTACCTAAAATATACATTAAATCTATTTTGAAAATCTGAAAACTAACCTGTAGCTGGCCGTCCTCCTCCTCCTTATCCAGCCACCTACCACAAGGACATGTATAAACAACAGAACTATCATCTTCATCCAAACATTTAGCCACCACTTTCTCACAGTGCCACCCATCTCCTCTCCCCTTACCATCGTGCCCTACCTGCAGCTTTATCAGTTCACTACCTTATATCTGGATCTGTGGGAACAAGAGGGGGTTTAAACGAGTAATGTACTAATTTTACGATTAGGAAAATATAAAATCTCCTTACTTTATTCTTGAAATACTATATGTAAAACAACGCGCTGAAAGCTTACCTCAGGAGAAAAGACATCAACAGAGCCCCTCTCAAAGAACTGATCACTATCCTTGAGTCCCTCCCCCAGGACAACTCTCCCTGACCGTCCCTTGTTTCCGAACAAGTTGATGTACACTTCCGCGTCTGTTCCGGCGTGTCTTATGTCGGACGTGTACACGCTTATCTCCCATCTTGTGCCTGGATTATGTGTCTGGGTTTACATTTTCAGTAACCTCTGTTTATTACACAATGGGAACATTTAGTATACTGACCTCACTTTCTCATTTTAAATGCTCTCTATACTTATCATCAGCTGTATTATTACCATTTTAATGTTTATTTCCCTAAATATTTTCCTGATAATAATATGTATATTCCCAGAATTACAGCCGTGTAACACATGGTAACACATGGTACACATGGAAAACATGGTAACACATGGAACCCATGGTAACACATGGTAACACATGGTATCTTACTTTTCTTGTAGGACTGGTCTGCTTCAACAGCTGGGTAGAGTGTTTTTTCCAAAGTACCGTCACTCTCGTCCTTACCAAACCACTCCTCACACGGGAATGTTCGTTTGACACCTGAGGGGGAGAATGTTAGGAATCTTGGTTACCGCAACAGTGGGCTTTATTAGACTCGAATTATTGCTTCCATATTGTTTTAAAATACGACGATTTTGTCATACTCTTTTCTACAATCAAACTAATCCATCTCTACCACCAATACAATAATTTCGATAAATTCCATGAGTATTATAGTAAGTTAAAGTATGACTCACCAAGAGAGGGTATGTCGACACTGATGCGCTCCAAATACCAATCACTACCCACGCCAGCCCCATCATTCCATACTTTGAGATAATCCACATTCCCAACATCAATACACTCCACGTAGAACAAATCTTTAGCGTCCCTCTCGAACTTGTTGATTGAGTTAGATTTGCAGGATTTTAGATGGATTGCTCCTGTAAAGTAGATAATATATATTAAATATTTATATTTTAATGTAAAACTACTGTGATATAACTATTATTTTATCTTGATCCTGAGTGCTAATTTCAGAACAATGAAACGAAAATGAGATAAGAACAAGATAAAAACATTTCCTTTAAAAAACAAAAGAGTTAGAAATTTCAAAAAGAGGTCTGACCAGAATCTTCAGTAGCCCCAAACAGTTGGAGCATGACATCAGAGTCAGTACCAGCCCCGAACAGATCACCAGTGTAGACTGTCACGTGATATGTGGTGCGCTGTTTAGCAGGAGCAAGCTCGCCTCAGCTGCGTCTGATATCGTCATTCCTTCCGGGAGAATTGCTAATTCACGGGAAATCTGGCCATCATCCTCGTCTGAAGAAATGGGGTAAAGAGAGGGGTTAACTATAACCGAAGAACTAAATGTTTCAGAAAATAAAAGGGACTTAAAATAATGACCTGGAATCTGGATTATAACGATTGATGTATAAAACCCGTAAAAAAGGCTGCTGTTCGCTCCAGTAGCCAAAAACCCACCTCTGAACAAGGAAAGGCCACTCTTGTCGTCGAACCTTCATCTGCACATACCACGTGGGAACAATGCCAGGCAGCACTAGTTCCACTGTCATCCTGTCTTATCTTTACCTTACTTAAGGTACCCAAATCTACTGCTGACAAGTTGAAAACGTCTACCTGTGGAAATAAGTAATAGAAATTGAGAAGAATTGTTATAAAAAGTACATTTTATAGATTATACCTGAGATCTCACGATATTGTATTTGCGTATTATGATTGTCCATACGTATTTTTCAATTGGAAATCTACATCATTCCCAGCTTAAGATAAATTGACTTTACAACTTTATCCATCACCCCTGGTTACCTGGTAACCTGGTAACCTGTTACCTGGTCAACCTGTTACCTGGTTACCTGTACCGGGTTACCTGGTTACCTGGTTACCTGGTTACCTGGCCCCAATTCCATACCTGATTTCTCTCGAACTTGTTGATATTGTCCGACTTTCTAAGGGATCGTTCTCCAGAATCTCCGTTCTCTCCATACAGAGTGACGAATATGTCTGAGTCAGTACCGGCTCCCGTTACATCAGATGTGTGGATCGAAACAGTGTATGTTATCACTTGAAATGAGGAGAGTTAGATTTAGGAGAGGGTCACTGAATACTACTCAAAATGGTACGAAAATGGAGTCCTGTTACAGACTTACAAAATAAAATTTTACCAAAATCATCGTCAATTTTTCTGAATCTCACACTTTACTGTTAAGAAACAACATCCAAGAAAGAGGCTCACCTTCTGCAGAGCTTATAGGCACTCCGTTTTCATCCGTAGCGTTCAGGCTCCTGGACGAGCTCCCTCATCTTCAGAACCTGGCTAACCTTCTTTTACAACTTAAAGTATACTCCTTTACTGAGGCCTTGTCCATCGAGCCTAAACGAGGTAATTAATTAGTTAACTTAATCAAGCATTGTCAGATTTTAATTATGAAGCACCTATTTTCATACATTCGTTATAATTGAGGAGTTAGTCGTTGATGTTACATAAAATTTGATTGGGAATCCAAATTAAATAGATAACTTGTAAGAGTACTGATAATTCCATTTTAGAGAAAGTAATGTTAATCACAAAGTTTATCTCACATTATGAGGTGTAAGTTTCTGGGTGGCCTTGTAGACGACCACCTTCTCCATGTGCCAGCCACTTTGTGCTCCTTTACCGTTGTGGCCCACCCGCAGCTTGTGAACCTCTCCTATGTCCCGACACTCAATCTTAAACGTGTCTGCTTCTCCTTGATAAATATAATAACGTTTTAAACTTTCAAACAAACTTGTCCAAAACCAACTATTATAATGATAACTTTACAGCTTTCTGAAGTCTGAACAGAAGAAAAGTCACCGCAGCTAACTTAAATTTGATTATTCAATTAGGAACAAAATATTTTAAGGGGAAAAACCTCGCTCAAAGTTGTCTGATTTGTTGTCCAGGTTAACTACTGCTCCCTTACCCTCAGAACCATACAGCTGGACGAACACATCTGCGTTAGTTCCTGAAAGTTGATAATCTGGTTAGCTAATATGTGTGTAGTAGTAGTGTGTTGATAATACCTGTAAGTTAGTATTAATCTAGTGATATTGAGCGCTCCAAGATAATACAATGTAATTTTGTCCGAACCTGCGCCAGAGATATCAGATGTTGTAAGTTCGACCTGATAAGGTACTTTAGCAAGGTACTTTGTGGAGTCTTTAACCGGGTAGAGATCCCTCTCAATCTTACCATCTTCCTCGTGCTTTGATAGCCACCTGTCAGGGGTAGATAAATGATAATTTAAGTATTAAAGAGGAAACCACAGTTTATTTACTAGTTTGGTTCAGAGGCCTAATAACTTTACTTTGTAAGGTTTCAGCCGTTCGAACGAAGGAAAATGTGAGGAAAATAGAGAGAAAAAGACCTCGGTGTAAAAATCTCTATATATTTTATATATGGAAGCTTACTTTTCACAAGGAAAGATAAAGATGGTCCCAGCGACCCCGACCTCCACACAATCTAGATACCAGCCACTGCTGATGCCTGACCCGTCGTGTCCTATCGTCATTCTCTCCAACTTACCTGTTTAACGGACCAGAATTTAATAACAACAAACAATTATACAATTAACAATTATACAACAAACAATTATACAATTAACAATCCTTCAACTGACAAGTATGGGTCTTTAATCATATATCTGAAGTTTTTGTTCATCATGAGAACCCGATATTAAACTTACCCAAGTCCTCCCTTTCCAGTTCGAATGTGTCTTTCCAGCTCGCTCAAACTTGTTCTTGGTATGTATAGCTTCTCGTAACTTGATCTAAAATGTTCGACAATGGTAAAAATCCGTATTTGTTTTGATTTAAAGTATAGATACATCCATTATTTTTCGGTATGATGTCTGCCAAGGAAACTCTCAGTTTCATTACGTTTATTCAACCGACCTGGCCAGTATTCCCCTTATCTCCGTATAAACAACAGTATACATCAGAGTCAGTTCCAGCGTTCATCACATCACCTCGTTTTTATCTTTATCTTGTATAGAGTCGCTGGGGTTTTACGACGTTAAAGATAAGAGTGATGAAAATGTAACTTTTTAATGACAATTTTGTTATTGATCATGACAATTATGGTAACGGTGAGTGTATAATCAATACTAATAATTTCAAGATGTGTGTCTGTCTGTCTGTCTGTAAGTGGATAATTTCCGAACGGCTTAATCAAGAAAACAGTAAGAGTTACCGTTCTCTCTCTTCATTTACAGCTCACCTAATTACTGCTTTGTACATAATTAGGTAATTTGGCAGTGGAGTCTATAATTAAGTAGGACTATTGGATACGTTATTACGTGATGGGCGCTCAGAATGAATTTACTCTATTGCGGTCGGTTCAAACCTAGCCGATTATTCTTTTGCACATTTTAACTATTGAACGTTTTATACTTTATGCAATGCAAATGCGATATGAAGTCCCCGGCTTGTAGGCCACGGTTATACTAGTGAATAATAATACTGATGAATGATTTGATAGCAATAAAGAGTGAAAGACAAAATATGAGTTTCGTTAAACCTTTACAATAGAAGTGATAAGGATGGGTGAATGGTGTAAGGTGGGGGGGGGGGGGGGTTGGGTGTTTCTCATAGAGAATGAGATCATTTCGTCGCAGAAGTTCTGAATTATACTAATGTGAATACCAGAAAATACAAATATTTAGTAAGGATAAGTGTGTGAGGAAGTGATCACAACCACAAGCTCAGGTGAATATGATCACCAGCAAACTACGGACCGGTTATATTTTGGCCATACTGAGATTGTGTTTGGCTATGAAATTTATACAACCCATCAGTAATCAATACGTATCATAATTTATCATCATCAATTCAAGGATCGAGCGGTACAGACCACTGGAAGTACAGCTGGAACCAGAAATTTCCTTACCTTTTTCGCAGACACAACCAGTGATTGAATCACATAACCAACACTGTGAACAATAACCATCATAAATGCGACTAATCCATATGTAGGCTTTTTTGAAATTAAACTCAGAGACTTCTGCATAAAATCAAACAATTTTCTCAAGATTAACTGGCATAATAAAGAAAGGTGGTTTTCAAAAGCCGCCACTCAATATCGACGTTACAAAATGTTCTGGAATGAGCTGGTTAGCGTTGTCCAACAAGGTATGTAATAGGATAACTAAGAATCGCTTTGATTTTTAAGCCCATCAGCATCGAGGGATACTATCACGTGCCTTATAGACAATTAGCACCGACTATACCGGAATCACCGGAATTGGACAAAAAGTGGCAAATTGAAGGTGAGAACCTAATCACATGCAATTAGGATAAATCCATACTGGGAGCAATTTCACTGCTCCTTACGGCCGGTTTAAAGCGTGCTGATCCCAACCCCAAGTTTAGAAGCGTGGCTGATCCACACCCGTTTAAAGCGTGCTGATTCCCAACCCCGTTTAAAGCGTGCGAAAGCCCCAACCCCCGTGGAAAGCGTGCTGATCCCAACCCCCGTTAAAGCGGGCTGATCCCCTACCCCCCGGTTTATAGCGGCTGATCCATCCCCGGTTGAAAGCGTGCTGATCCCAACCCCCGGTTGTATAGCGGGCGAATCCCTAACCCCCGGTTGAATTGCGGGCGGGATCCCAATCCCCCGGTTTAATAGCGTGCCTTGATCCCAACCCCCCCGGTTTAAAATGCGTCTGATCCCAACCCCCTGTTGAAAGCGTCGATCCCAACCCCCATTGTAAACTGATCCCAACCCCCGGTTTAAAGCGTGCTGATCCCAACCCCCCGGTTTAAAGCGTGCTGATCCCAACCCCCGGTTTAAAGCGTGCTGATCCCAACCCCCGGTTTAAAGCGTGCTGATCCCAACCCCCCGGTTTAAAGCGTGCTGATCCCAACCCCCTATCTGTATCCAGCAGTAAATACGGAAACAGGGCCAAGCTGAAGAACACTAGAGGTTGAAGCTTAGGTTCGTGTGAGATTGTGATGACAAGGGGAAAAATAAGTGAACGATTATTTTAAATGTCAGATTTTAGATGGAGTCAAATCTTTAACACTTTTTTGAGAACCGTTCTCTGTTATCTGTACATTTTCTATGCGATACTTTATCCGATTGTATAATGTATATTTTATTCATGATCAATTTCCATGGTGAAGAATGACATGTTGAACTGGATTCCTGAATTCCGATCGATCCTTGAATTTAATTGCATATCATAATAATATCATGAATGGAGTTAACGACTCATAAAGTCATAACAGTTGGATTATCTTACTTCTCAGAAGGGCAGCCTCACTGTCCGCAAACACCTCTCTGATCACCGCTCCATCGTCCTCATCGTCCGCTAACCACCTGTTGAAATATAAGATTGTGAAATCACATCCTACATCCTACATCCTACATCCTACATCCTACATCCTACATCCTACATCCTACATCCTACATCCTACATCCTACATCCTACATCCTACATCCTACATCCTACATCCTACATCCTACATCCTACATCCTACATCCTACATCCTACATCCTACATCAGACTATGAAACAAGGTGGTTTAATTTAATGATAAATAATGGTGACTAATTGAGTGATTTGCATAGATCGAGGATACCGCAGATCAAGGACACCGCAGCTTATGAGTTTGGGTGTAATTTAGGGCGACGGACGGTCGACCGGAATTATTCTACAAAATACCGCCACCAGTTTAGCAATAAAAGGATCTTCTGTTATATGTATTTGTTAAATTTTAAATGCAACTAGTTAATGGAGAGCATATTTTAAGATTGGACATTGGAATTTGCAACATATTTTGACTGATCTTATTTAACAGAATATATCCCCCCTCCCCCCCCCAAACTCGAGACACATACTGAGGAGTGTGTCCGATGTATTCAGGGTAGTATCTGTAGAGAACATCGTGAACAATCCTAACCACCAGCTTTGGAACGAACAGCACCACGCTCATCATCAGGATCAGCATCTCCGCCAGTCTACTCCACGAAGTCATGATCCTCAAACACAAGGAAACATTTTATTAGGTCAGTCCGACGAGGCGGGATGAACGTTGGGGCCTCGAGAGAAGGTCTTCATCATGGTGTAGTCAATGGTGTAGTCATGATGCTGAGATACAGGCACCGTGAATTTAAAGATACAGATAATTAAGTGTAACGATGAAAGAAAAACCGCATAATATAGAGCAAATCAAACGAACTATGTAGCTTGTATTGGAAGAAATTTGTGAAATAGGCTGGCATTGACAGTTAAAACTAAAAAAAACAGTTGACAGTTAAAAGAAAGTGATACAGTGTATCATACACTGGAAAAGAAGAAGGTATGTAGTTGAACAATAGGTATAATGCGCGTGCCACAGTCTTCTTGGCACCATTTCACTGAAACTCTGGTTGTTTTGCGAAATTTGTAGCTCGAGTTATATTTCAAAATGTGTGCGAGTAGGCGTGTTTCTGACTTGTCCTATATTATTGCGTTTATCAAATACACGGATATTTGTAAACAATCCATACTTTATCGTGTGGAAAAGTTATTTGTACATGGATTCCAGAAGTTTCCGTGGTCGCATCATTTCAATAGAATTTATCATGAGCGTTTCAGTAAAATAACGCCATTTTTTTCGGACACTTTTTTTATTCAAGGCGGTTTTTAAAAGGCGATATCTCAGGAATCCAATATTTTTGAGAATTATGCTTGTGTGTTCTGAGATCAGCATGGCTACATCTAACTAATGATACCAAAAATTTGTAAATCCGAGAAACTAATAATATTTCGATGACGACCTACTAATTCGTATGAATCACGAAAGAGATACTGCAGTCCGACAAAATATTTACTTTTCGGAAATTTAGAAGCCCAAAAACACCACGGTGAAACCGGGCCTCTCGGGGGAAATGAAAAGTACAGAGTATAAAAAAAGGCTCGGTATTATGGAGAGGTTCATATGATCCGGTTGTGAAGCATCAGATTATCATAGTTATAGACTCTCAAATAACATTGTATTGTGTTTGTATATTAGAGCTTTAGCCACAGGTAGGTTGGTCTGCACGGAGCCCCACAGTTTCAATTCCTTGTTTAACTAGCCGTACAGCAAGGATATCCACTGTGCTCACCAGGTTAGGCACATAACCAACACTACCCTGCTAAAGTTAGCTATATACTATGGTTTTCTCGAAAGTATTTCCTTGTATTTGACTTTCGTCAAGAAAGTACTCTTACTTTCGGTTCAGATGTTATATAAGCTAGCCTTTATGTGGTCCGCAGGGCGGAGGAACCGCCACACACTTCTCACCCAGCTACGAATACAATGTATTGTGTTAAGCGTCTCATATATCCCATTAGTGGCCCTTATATGCACGTATTGTGTCGTGTTGTGATGGAATACAGCTCGATACCCACCAAATGCGATAATGTACATTTCTTTGCTTCTTGCACAAAACGAGATAATCAACTAAAAGTTTGAGAGAAAAGAAGAGGTCCGATATATCGAGGTATATCGAGGTTTGACTGTGTTTGGGCTGAAATCGAGAGCTCGAAAGTCGAAAGTTTCTAATGTGTATTGTGTACCCACCTCGGAACTGGCAGAACACCATTACATTAGCTGTAGCAATCAGCACAAACAGATAAAAGGTTATATAATTATTTCTGAATGGACTGACATTGACATTGAAGACAAAAAAACCTGTAGAATCAAATACTTAGACCATAAGTAAAAGCTGTTTTTAGTTTTAATCTGATATCTAAGAGCTATAATTGTATCTATCAATAACAATTGAAATTGTGCGGTAAATGGTTGAAGTAAGAGGGTATGTGATAAAGATTATTTACCTGCTGAAGTAGGAGGAAAGTAAGGATAGAAATTAGAAGTGTAAATGTGCAAATAAAGAGTAAACTAGGAAACCTGTAGAAATCTGTAACTAGAGGGCAAGACAACTAAACTAAACTATAGGCCATGTGTCCCACGAATGGCAGCTAGAGAAGTCCTTTATGACCCCTGTCTGTAATAAGGTAATACTAATAGCTGTTCAGGGTCGCTTATTTTGTTAACTACGGTTGGTAAATTTAACGATGGCGAGGATCCCGTAGTACTTGGAAAAATACAAGCTTTCTAAATATGAACTTATAAAATAAAATGTCAAAGGGATTGAAGAACGTCAGTACATTGTGTCAACTAGTCAAGTAACAATTTATAAAAGATCGGGATAAAGAAAATTACACTTTTCTTTTAATAAAAAATAGTGATATATACTGCAGAAAACTGTAAAAAGTGAAATAAAAAGTTGGGCAGATGTCAGAAGAACAGGACAATCAGCTTACAGCAAAAACTGTGAAAGAAGCCGTGAGATCAGTAAATGAGGAAGAAGAAAGATATAAGGCGTTAATGAGACGAAAGAAGGGGAGTGAGAGGACGTGTAAAACGTTGACATTCTCCTGGCCTTTATCAGTTCAGATTTGCTGAGGCCGGCTGTGACATTCCTGACCCGCTGGAGGTATGCAGGATTGGGAAGAAAGATCCTGAGAAAACGCGACCAATCAAAGTTTAGTTCGAAAGCTTTAGCGATGTGGACATTATACTAAGGAACGCACACAAACTTAAAACAAATGTAGATTTTAAGTCAGTTAATTATCTTGCACAGTTAATTACGTGCCGATACTGTGTAGTTTGTTTTACATAGTATGTATTTAGTGTAAGTTGTGGCTGATGATTTCTATAAACCGTTTTCAACAAGTTTTTTACGATGCAAGATTTTGTGTGGGGATTTAGGTAGAAGAAAGAACTGTGGCTCATATTTTATTATATTTAGGTCAAGGCATAATACTATATTTAGGTCAGCCATGATCCGTTAAGCTCGCAGGACTGAAAATCCTTGCAAAGCGGGTCTGGCTTAATTAGTAAGTAGGTGCAGGTCGTTTAATTTCTAGGGATAGCAACTTTATTTTGTTTAAAATAAATTGTGTATACTGCTCAAAAGCCCCTATGGGTGGCTTTCGGGTCTTTCAATCAATCAAATATTGGACGATCTCGAGCGATCAAGATGGTTCAGAGTTTTACAGCAACCGACTCATATCATCGTCTTATCATGTATTGTAACAAAATACTGTAATAATTGGCAAAAAAAACTCTTAGCATAAACAATTGGTCTAAATTAAGAACTAAAATTAATCATATCAGATGACTGATAAATATTAATGCATTTTCTTGCCTAGAAGTAGAATATAAGGCAGACTACTCAATAGACACTTTATATCTATGCGTATTATTATATACAAGTATACAGACAATTCAAATTTGTGAAGTTCAACAAGAACGAAATTAGAGGAAGGAGATATGGAAATGCGAATATGAAACTGGCAACAGGTGTATACTGTATCATGTAGCAGTTTGTAGTGCTGCCAGATCTTAATTCCTTTTTATGTTACACTTACAGAGTTTCATATTCACAGGAAGTGATCATGTAACCCAGTTACCGGGCCAATATATGGGGTGGCCCCCACTCATCGCAGCCCGCTAGTTTTACTGCCTTTTAATATTAGCACATTGGAGGACATATTTCACTGTTCATTGGTGGAAGATTGAATTAATCTGGTTACTGGTGGAAAGGTGAGTCATGTTTTTGTTCTGGCACGTGACAGCGAATACCCAATCAGCTCCCATTAGTGACCAATTACAAGGGTCAAAGCAGATATAAATTATGATATCTTTTTGACCGACCAAACAGTTGAATTATTAGGATTACTTTCTCCCACCATATGTGAAGGTCACTGCTCCCTTTCAGCTTTTTAAAGTGAAAATTACTCTGGTCTCTAATATTATGCAATCGCAAAAGTCACTGGTCACCACAGCAACAGAAAAAATAGTGTGTACCTCAAGGAGAAATAATAAGGTTAATCATAAATCAATCAGAAATGAACAAATTAAACGCAAACCAAAATGGTGAAACAAAATGGCGAGACGAGTCGAGTGGGAAAATATTGAAAAGAACACACAGAAACCTCGAAATAGTGACCAGAATATTACTCTCATAAAAGCTGAGTAAGACGGGAGGTGACCGCTCTGTGATAGTGGTTGCTAAAATAGCGATCAGAATATTACTCTGATAAAAGCTGAGTAAGACAGGGGGTGACCGCTCTGTGATAGTGGTTGCTAAAAGGAGAAAGCAGAGCAATCTGTTAATCTTGTAATTTCCCATGGCAACTAATCTACTTCCTAAACTAAAATCAGCTCAGGATGTGTCACAGTATAACCGGAGGGCACTACAAATCATGATATCAGTTTCATGTGTGCTTACTACTCAACAGAATAGTCTCGAGAGTAAAATTACAATCTCTGCTGGCTAAATACAGAATTTTGAAGTTGAAAGTTTAGTAAATAGTACATTATGCAATTAAATATGCTTACAATTGGCAAGAACAAACTCAAGGTTTATTTCAATTTTATCATGTTATCTAGTATCAACTATCAGCTAACATAAATATCAAAATCCACTACAAATTTAGGCTTAAAGTTTTAAAATTAGTCAGGAGAAAAGTGTCATTCCGTTGGATTTGAAGGGTAATAAGAATTTATCAACGGAATATGGTAGCTATAGGACCCCTACGAACATAATTAGACTTGTCGCCAATTTTGTATCTCACGGCAATGGGCAACGCCACTCTTCCCCACTTTTTACCACCGTCTAGTACCACCTTTCTAGTTTGCCAAATATTTTTAGTTGTGAACGTTGTAGAAGGTTGCAAATTAATCGAAGATGTTTATCTTATCAAGGAGAAAACTTTTGTTAGAAAAATTTTTACGTTGGGACAATCAGCTGATTGGATAATTTTTTATTGGCTCAAAATGATCGAAATCGTTTGAAACACGCAAACATGTAGTTTTTAGAAAAACTTCGAACATTTTTTACTTTACAATTTTTTTCGAAAATTCGAAAATATTTTTTCCCGCCAAAAGTGATCGAATTGCATGAAACGTGGAGAAAAGTGCTTTGCAGAAAAACTTCGAAATTTTTTTGCCTGGCATATTTTAGTAATTAGGAATAACTAAGCGGAAAGGGCTGAACCTGAAAAAGGTAAACCACACAATATTAGAGTTTCATAGAGTTTCATCTTTTTAGGTCTTAACCAGCCTTAGCTTCCCAGTTCCCTGTTTTCATCAGTACCTCATGTAGCTACGTTCTGCTACCTCCATGCCAGCACCACCCAGCTACCACAAGTTCATTCTAAGTCTAGCTATTTCTAGCAACCTCTGAACTCTGAATGCTACCTCCTGCTCTATCCCGACCCTGACAATGACATAATATGGGGGTGATTTGAGGTATCTTGCATAGCAAACGAAGCGGCATGCGCATTCGCGATACAAAAAAGCCACAGTGGATGTTGGAAGGTATATATTTTACACTTGCGAGAGTGACAAAAAGTGCACAGTTCAGAGAAACCCCGGTGGGAAATCACATTTCTTGCACAACTGGGTCTAATTATAGAGGCAAAGAAGAGGCCCGGTTACCGGTACATTCAGGTACCCGGTATAGATTGGTAAGATTGACGGTATAGAGAGGTTTTAATCATTTAAATCAATAAAATGATAGTACAGCAGGTAAAATCGGTTCGATCTTAAATGGTCCTTTTAGTTTTGTGCTGTTTCTTCATGTGGAATTTGATAAGGCTGTACTGTAATTAATTATGAAACTGTAATATTGTGTGGTTTACCTTTTTCAGGTTCAGCCCTTTCCGCTTAGTTATTCCTAATTACTAAAATATGCCAAGCGAAGTTTTTCTGCAAAGCATTTTTCTCCATTTTTTTTTGTTGGTAATTAGCTTTAAATTGGTAACTATCCAATTAGCTGATTGTCCAACGTACAAATTTTTTAACAAAACGTTTTTCTCCTTGATAAGATAAACATCCTCGATTAATTTGCAACCTTCTACGACAGAAAGGTGGTAAGAAGGTGGTAAAAAGTGGGAATAAGTGAGATACAAAATTGAGATACAAAATTGGCGACAAGTCTAATTATTTTCGTAGGGGTCCTAACTACCATATTCCGTTGATAAATCCTTATTACCCTTCAAATCCAGCGGAACCCTTAAATCGATCACTTTTCCCCTGACTAAATTATTCAATTATTAGAGTAAGATTTATGGAATTGCAATAAACGATGCATAGTGTAAAAGTAAATTTAATAAATGAGTTATTGTTAAGAAGCTACATCAAACCTGGGGGAAGGGGGTGTAATTTCTACATAATATTATTAAGTAGCTTACAGAGGTGGAGGGGGTATGAAATGATCAAAATATGGCCTACGTAATTATATGTGAGCGATCACGAATAGTCCTTCTAGACAAATCAAATAACTGACTTATATGGCACGAAATTATTAATTATGGAAAATAAAACACCTCATTTCTAAGACATCACAAAGTAGGTATTAATAGCTACCATGATTCCATAAACCATCTTATCCATTTATTGTGCTGAGAAAGACGAAAAACTATAGTTTTAAACTAATTACAACACTACAAATCTATAGCATTAATAGTATATAAAAACTATAGTATTACCAAAGCCTCGGTACTCATAATATAACCGACAAAACTGACGTATTTACAGTAGACTGCGAAAATTACTGATCTTAACCGGTCACTATCTCTCTATCCATGGGTTATAAACTCGTTATGGCAATTGGCACACTAGCTTACATAATATAATTCACACACAATTATATTCCCATTAAAGCATTAAGTTGACAATCCCCAGGAATAAGTTAGACAGCTAAAAAAGCAGGAGCTACAGAATAGACCGGAATGTAATGATGGCATTAATTCCTAACCTGTTTACTAGGAAAGTCAGGGCCCCTCCACCCTGAACTTCGGCTCCAGTGACTGTTATACTCTCACAAAACCACCCTGGGGATGCTCCCTCGTTGTTGTGTCCCAGCCTGATCTTCGGAGCTCTCCTAATGATACGGCTGATATCGTGAACTCGTTCGTCTGAAGTAGTTAGTTTCACTTTCTCTTTCATTCGAGGTATCACTTTCGCTTTCAACAAGACTAGATCTCAAAACATTATTAAAGTGTAAATGTAAAGTAAACTCCTCTCCTGACTAAAATACGTTATATACGAAAATACGTGTTGTAAAACAAGATTAACTCACGTCTCCTCTCTCGAACTTGTTGATACCAGTAGTAGACTTCCTCAACCACCTATCCCCCGTGTCCCCCCTCTCTCCTGCTACACACAAATACACGTCTGCATCAGTTCCAGCACCTGCTTTTTTACCTGTTGTCACTGCAACAGTGTACTGTACCACTGTGGGGGATAGTTTTAGTTACTTCAAGCTAATTTCATTTAATTTCATTCCGATTTTGTTTTTTTCATTTAAATTCATTTCAAATTTGTTTTAGGCGTGTTCTTCGGTCACTTAAAATTGTTCTTGATTCCTAGATGATTTTTTTGCAGGCTTTGGGAATACTCAATTTGGTACATAAACTTTAAAAGATAACAAATAAAACATCTGTTGGTCGAATTTTATATCTAATTGGAACTTAAACAGAAACTTAAAACCGGTCTTCTGTTCTGACTCAGCAGTTGAACGCAGTTGCAATCCAATGCACGTCACAATGGTTTTCTATCATTTCACTTGGCACTGCGTCCTCCACTGTGATTACCCAAAACGTGTCCTTGAACACAAGCCGTAAAGAAAAGTAACAACTGGTGGTGTCACAAACCCGCATTCCGCAATATTGATCCGTCTCAATGCTGCCCGGCCGGCACCCGTACCGTAGCTGATCCAATTCCATTGTTTTCCAGCGCTATGTTTTGCGACACCAGAGCAGGTTAAAGCACAGGGAGGCGGACCATTTTCACCAGATGGAACACTCAAGATCTTCAATTCACTAGCAAGGGAGGGCGTAACTAGCATCACAGTCATCAGACAGCCGAGCACCTTCATCTTGAAAAGAGTTGAAGAACAGAACGAAAACCAACCTCTTCTTAGATGTGTTGTGGTTGAAATGGTGACAAGTTTAACCTTTTATCAATTGTTTGTAGAGACTTTGACAGTTATGGAATGTCACATTGACAGATCGCCCAAGTTTAGTTGATCGATTTTATTGTTTAGAACAGCTCTGACATGTTAAATGACAAGTCTTGTGCCAGCTGCTATCCATATGGGTGGTATAAGCACCTTATTTCATTATTGTGATTGTAATGGAAACATGGCTACCGTATTCTCATAGAATAAAGGTTCGAAACATTTAAGGAGATTTACATGGAAGCAGCTGTTATCTTTTAGATAACTCAAAGAGTTATCTAAAAACCCCCAAAAGTACCTAACCAGGTAAGGGTGTGGGGTATTACCCCCTCCCCAAATATGTACTTACCAGGTAAGGGTGTGGGGTATTGCCCTCCGCTCACTGCCGGAAGTTCTCTTACAGTCTCGTTATCATCTTCACCCCTGTCCAGCCATCGTCCACATCTAAAGAGGGCCTTCCTCCCCGACTCTGGTTCGTACACTTGGACCTGAAATGGAATTTTTTGATATATTGTAGGTTTTAAAGATTTCTAATATTAGGACGGTCCTTAAACTGATGCACTAAAAATCCTAGGTATACGCACTGTAGTCCGATAAGTACTAATGTTCAACAAGCCTTGGATCTCGACTAAAACAAGCACATCCTATAAGTGATACCCTAAAATCTACCTCCTGATTTCTCCTCCACCATCCTCACCTTATCCAGATGCCACCCAGCAGCAGGACTGGAATCATCGTGCCATATCCTGATCTTGTAGAGAGCCCCCACAACAGGAGCACTGACTGTCAACTTGTCCAGAGATCCCCTCTCGAAGTTGTTGGATTTGTTGTCGAGTGATATAACGTCGGTCTGCCCTGTTTCTCCGTACATCTGAGGGACAAGGGTTTTAAGTGGAAATTCTTTAAAACTTTTCTGAGTAAAAATCTACATTTCATTTCAATATTCGCTTACTGTAAGCAATTATTACTTCACTGATTTACCTGTAAGGATACATTGCTGTCAGTCCCAGCAGCTCGTATATCACTGGTCCAAATCCACACCTCGTAGGTGGACTGTTTGGCTTGTTCTCTTCTAGCGGACAGTAGTTCACTCAACTCACGTTCTATCAAGCCGTCACCTAGAGTTGTTGCAACTTGTTACTTCATAATAAGAGTGTTTATAAATCAGCTGAATAAACGTTCAATAAATCGAGTGAGCTGTTACAAATCATCTGAAAATCCAACTTATGTTAAAATCAGGCAGTATAAGTAGCACCCCAAACCTTCGCTTTTAGCGAGCCACTTGTCACAGAGAAAGGTCTGACAAAGCCCCGCAGAAGGACACTCCACAGTGACCTTACTCAATTTCCAGCCTGCAGCAGAACCAGAGTCATCGTGTCCTATTACTATACGGTCTAGAGGGGTGAGGGGTGCTGCCTGAATCTCGAATTCGTCCTGTCTCCCACGCCTGGAAGGAGAGGATCAGGGGGTTTATTTGTGAAAACTCTAGAAAACTCTAGAAAATATTTGTTACACCATGTTATATACTTGCTTTCATTCAGCATAATACATTTCTTATGCTCATCATCTATTTATACCATCTATTTATGCTTATCTAACATGATAATCCCCTTTTTAAACTAAAAGCATGGCTAATCTAGACCTTTCTTGTTTTCCGTTGAACAAATCATACGATTAACATTTAACGATTTAGCCTGAACAGCTGGTGCCTAGTTTAGAATTATCTGTAACTGTATGTGAGATGATTTGAACATAAACTAACTTGAAAGCATTCAAAGTATCCCTTCTCAGGACGATCTTGCCACTGCTACTGTCGTCTGTGCTGTACATTATCAAGTGCACGTTCGCATCGGTACCTGCTCCTCTTTCGTTACAGGTGTAGGTGGTTACGATGTAGTTAACCCCTGATAATATCGAGCGGTTTTTTAATATTTTCCATACTTCTTTTTTGACAAGCAATGTTAAATGACAGTTGGCGTTGCTTGATCAACTTTAATGGAATGCAGCCAATGCGTGCTGGGACCCATGCGTTGCGCGGCTCAACTTAAATACACTAGCTGCCGAATTAGAGCATTGCACCATTAAAATGTTTTCGCGCGCTCTAATACATATCTTAATAAAATTTAAAATTATTTGCCAAATTATAACATGCGGATGAAACCTCGAATATTTGCTATTATTAGAGTTATTAGCACAGTCCGATAATGGCTATTATAATGACTACAGAGTATCGAAAAACTAAAATCTGTACCTTGTCCAGAAGGCTCATCAGCAGCTTCACCAGTCCACAGTTCGACTTGTATTTTGCCATCCCCCTCATCCTCTGCCAGCCACCGGTTGCAAGGAAAAACGTACGTTTCTTTGCCATCGTTCACAGATACCTAAGGGAAAGATTGTAAGTAGGTTTCCATAACATGGCCACTTTGTCTTTCTTTGATTTGCGATTGAATCAGAAATAATAATTATATTTATTTGAAATGTTATGCTCTACAAATACGCTGCAAAGTATTTTAGTTGATACTCACATTACAGCAGTACCAAGCAGGACTAGGCCCAGAGTTATCATGGCGGATCACAGCACGCTTCAAAACACCCAAATTAGGAACCTCTAGTGGGAACACATCCGTCTTGGCTCGCTCGAAGTTGTTGCGCGCATTATCCAGCCGCTTTTCTACTGTTTCACCTGGTTAAAGGAGAATTTCTTTACTGTTATCTGGTTAGAAGGTTCAAATAATCCATTGACTTACAAATGAGATGGATGTACTGACACTGATCCTGAGCAATGAGCATAAAGATTAAATATTTATCATCCAACTATTCACTGTGCAACTTTTTAAGGTATAAATGAGGAGATGTTTTCGTTATAAGATAGCACTGTACGCGTAATGTCAGGTTATGAAATATGTACTCGCATTTACATAATTTTACCTTATATACTCTAATATGTTTTTACTCTCGCGTTGATCACACTACTTTATTACCAGTGCAGTCTCTGTAAATCATTACGAGCCCCAGACTACAATACGAAAAGCTATCCCACATCAAATCAACAGTCAACGTGGAATGGCCTGGAATGCGCATGAAAAAGAAGTCACGTGACTTTTCTCTGAGCGGCAACTGGTCCTTCAATTTAAATCTCTCATAAATCATAAAATACTGCTTGATTAAAGGGACAGTATTCCGTGCACAAACTGCAACAGTATTGACACAAACAAAGGTCAATATAAATAGCAGGAACGAAATGGTACAAGGCGAAATAAAAAGTAGGGGACTAAAATAAAGGATTGTTTGTGCCATGGTTGGTGACAAGTAGGGTACTAAAATAAAGGATTGTTTGTGCCATGGTTGGTGACTCACCTAACTCTCCGAACATCTGTAAGTAGACATCTGCGTCAGTACCTGCACCCAACTTGTCGCCCGTAACCACCGTCACTATATACTTCACACCTGCAAATTGTGTTCAATCTATAAAACTATCCCGGGGGTCCCTACTTTTCTTCCCTAATGTCTAACCTTATTGGTCGGGCTTCTTGGATACGACTGTGAAAATATTACAACCTGGGTTAAATTTACCACCAAGAAACTGATCAATAATTTGTTCTAAATTCAAGCTGGACGAACTTACAAGCGCTAGCCCCAGTAGGGTCAGTGGACGCAGCAATATCCCTGACAACCTATTTAACTTACAAGCGCTAGCCCCAGTAGGGTCAGTGGACGCAGCAATATCCCTGACAACCTGTTTAACTTACAAGCGCTAGCCCCAGTAGGGTCAGTGGAGGCTACAATATCCCTGACAACCTGTTTAACTTACAAGCGCTAGCCCCAGTCGGGTCAGTGGAGGCAGCAATATCCCTGACAACCTGTTTAACTTACAAGCGCTAGCCCCAGTAGGGTCAGTGGACGCAGCAATATCCCTGACAACCTGTTTAACTTACAAGCGCTAGCCCCAGTAGGGTCAGTGGACGCAGCAATATCCCTGACAACCTGTTTAACTTACAAGCGCTAGCCCCAGTAGGGTCAGTGGACGCAGCAATATCCCTGACAACCTGTTTAACTTACAAGCGCTAGCCCCAGTAGGGTCAGTGGACGCAGCAATATCCCTGACAACCTGTTTAACTTACAAGCGCCAGCCCCAGTAGGGTCAGTGGACGCAGCAATATCCCTGACAACCTGTTTAACTTACAAGCGCTAGCTCCAGTAGGGTCAGTGGACGCAGCAATATCCCTGACAACCTGTTTAACTTACAAGCGCTAGCCCCAGTAGGGTCAGTGGACGCAGCAATATCCCTGACAACCTGTTTAACTTACAAGCGCTAGCTCCAGTAGGGTCAGTGGACGCAGCAATATCCCTGACAACCTGTTTAACTTACAAGCGCTAGCCCCAGTAGGGTCAGTGGACGCAGCAATATCCCTGACAACCTGTTTAACTTACAAGCGCCAGCCCCAGTAGGGTCAGTGGACGCAGCAATATCCCTGACAACCTGTTTAACTTACAAGCGCTAGCCCCAGTAGGGTCAGTGGACGCAGCAATATCCCTGACAACCTGTTTAACTTACAAGCGCCAGCCCCAGTAGGGTCAGTGGACGCAGCAATATCCCTGACAACCTGTTTAACTTACAAGCGCTAGCTCCAGTAGGGTCAGTGGAGGCTACAATATCCCTGACAACCTGTTTAACTTACAAGCGCTAGCCCCAGTCGGGTCAGTGGAGGCAGCAATATCCCTGACAACCTGTTTAACTTACAAGCGCTAGCCCCAGTAGGGTCAGTGGAGGCTACAATATCCCTGACAACCTGTTTAACTTACAAGCGCTAGCCCCAGTCGGGTCAGTGGAGGCAGCAATATCCCTGACAACCTGTTTAACTTACAAGCGCTAGCCCCAGTAGGGTCAGTGGACGCAGCAATATCCCTGACAACCTGTTTAACTTACAAGCGCTAGCTCCAGTAGGGTCAGTGGACGCAGCAATATCCCTGACAACCTGTTTAACTTACAAGCGCTAGCCCCAGTAGGGTCAGTGGACGCAGCAATATCCCTGACAACCTGTTTAACTTACAAGCGCTAGCCCCAGTAGGGTCAGTGGACGCAGCAATATCCCTGACAACCTGTTTAACTTACAAGCGCCAGCCCCAGTAGGGTCAGTGGACGCAGCAATATCCCTGACAACCTGTTTAACTTACAAGCGCTAGCCCCAGTAGGGTCAGTGGACGCAGCAATATCCCTGACAACCTGTTTAACTTACAAGCGCTAGCTCCAGTAGGGTCAGTGGACGCAGCAATATCCCTGACAACCTGTTTAACTTACAAGCGCTAGCCCCAGTAGGGTCAGTGGACGCAGCAATATCCCTGACAACCTGTTTAACTTACAAGCGCCAGCCCCAGTAGGGTCAGTGGACGCAGCAATATCCCTGACAACCTGTTTAACTTACAAGCGCTAGCCCCAGTAGGGTCAGTGGACGCAGCAATATCCCTGACAACCTGTTTAACTTACAAGCGCTAGCCCCAGTAGGGTCAGTGGACGCAGCAATATCCCTGACAACCTGTTTATCTCCCACATCATCGGCTAGCCAGTTGTTACAGTGGAAGTAATATTTGCTGTCCTCCGAGCTGATTGTCACTTTGTCTAGATGCCACCCTGGCCCAAACCCACTGTTATCGTGTTCTATCCTGGTATTATTTTAGGGTAACTGTTATGTAATCTGTAATGTCAACAGTGGCATACAAATATGAAGGTTAAAGTTTTAGATTTAATGGTTCTTCTTAAGTAGGTAACTAACTGAATTGTTCATAAATAATTATGATAGTTATATCGAGGCAGCTCGCTGGGTCACTCTTAGATAATATGTCAGTATTAAATAGCGGATGAAAGAAAAAAGATCTATCTGAACAAACAATGAAACCTTATTTTCTGGATGGGGTCGAGGTTGTTGGTTTTGATCTTGAATATGTCACTCTGGCCCCTCTCAAAAGTATCTGAACCGTTGCTGAGTTGTATTTTGGGTGTTCTACCCTTCTTACCGAACACTGTTATGAACACATTAGCATCTGTACCTGCTCCCCTTATATCTCCCGTTATTGTAGAGATAGTGTACACTGGGAGGGAGTTACAGTTGTAGTGACTAATAGTGACTAATAGTGACTAGTGTAGTAGTGACTAATAAAGTAACTAGTGTAGTAGTAGTGACTAATAAAGTAACTAGTGTAGTAGTAGTGACTAATATAAATAATGTAACTAGTGTAGTAGTAGTGACTAATATAGTGACTAGTGTAGTAGTAGTGACCAACAAGATATCAAGTTAAAAGTTGGTGATTAGTAGTGGAGTAAGTTCCAAAAAAGGTTTAATTTGAGGAATTTCAATTGCGAAACTAAAGCAGCAGAAGTGACATTCAGTGCTCTCAAGTTTTCCAAAATTTATAGATCTGGATACACATGAACCATATTTTCAGGTCATATTTTCCATATTTCCAGGCTATGATACAACTCACATTTCTTGAAGGGCACTTGCTTAGCTGGCCCCTTAATTTGAGAGCCCTTAGGCACAAGCTGTCTGTCTATCTTGCCATCTCCTCGCTGCAGAGACAACCACTGGTTACAGGGGAATGTCCAGGTTCTTCCGTTACATTCCACCGATACTTGCTCCAAGTACCAGGACTGCTGCTCTCCTATTCCGTCGTGCTGAGACGTTGGTAATTAATTAGTTGGTAATTAATTAGTTGGTAATTACTTAGTTGGTAATTAATTAGTTGATTAAAGCTATTGGGGTGGCTGTTCACTAATTGGCACCTACTTTTGCCTTATGAGTAATTCTAGTAAGTCGGAGAGAAATTAGACACATTTTTACTAAACTTGTTTTTCAAATAACGTTCAAGCTTTTTATGTCGTAGGATTTTATTACTCACGCTCCATTTAACTGGTAATTAATTACTAAATTAGCTGATCTAATTAAGTATCTTTACCTCCACATCAGCTTTAACCAGGTCCCCAATATCAGGACCGTACACAGTGAACATCAACTCAGATCCACGTGAGAATATGTCGTTATTCTCACTGTGAAGACGGCGTTTTGTCATCTTCCCCTTACTTCCGTACAGAGTTACAAACACCTGATAAATACGTTATATAAATACCTGAATACGTTATCATGTCATGTATTTCACTAGTTTTAGGTTAAAATAACAAGTTGAACGTTTGAACAAGCTTGACAATGAGGGCTTTATTTTGTACAATAATGATTTCTTAGTTTCTTTATCTTATCGCTCAATTTCAAATATAATGAATTATAGTTTTTCCTAATTACAATTAGTTAATATTAATAAGCTCATAAACATAATTTCAACTCATATTTGAACACCGATCAGTGCAGGTAATATAAGTGCACACTGCATAACTCGCTATTATATAGCCACTGTACAGTAATTACTGCAGGAGTCTGGATCAGTTTGTATTGCGTTGCCATGGCAACCTCCACAAATATCATGACTCAAGCTCTCTACTATATATATGACGTTACCTTGCGTGTAAACAGAAAGATGTCTTACACGAAATATTTGGACTTTGAGCAAACAATAATGAACCCCTGTCTCGCTCAAATTTTATGCACCATGATATTAATTATGCATATAATTATCAGCTATGTTATCTAAGTTTAAGTAGTTAAACAGTATGATAGCACTTAATAACTGCAACTCGTTAGTAGAGTCTGCAGTTGTGCCTTGTTAAGTTGTTAACGAGCACATACTACCGATCACTTACAATTGTACAATGCAATTGTACATTGTACAATACAACTGTGCTACAATAAATGTACATGTGCAATATAAAGTTGTACAGTGAAGTACAGACTTTCCAATATTTCAAATAAAAGTGCCACCTGCATGGCCCTGAATCGATTAGATTTGTATCTAGGAATGTGAGATCACCACAACTGGCTTTAACGAAGATTATTACATTGAGCGAGCAAAAAGAGGACAGAGTTAAAATGTAATTAGTAACTTGAAGGGTGATATTTAGTGAGCATGAACTAATAATTAAGTTAATGTAATAGTAAAGTCAAGGTGAAAAGTTGTTGGTGGCCAGGTATATTAGTAGTTTCTTAAACAGATAGATAAAATTCTAACTGTATGAAATGTTAAACTATTTTGGTGGTAAATAATCAAATTTCTCAATAACACCCGAAAGCGTTGTCATGGTTACCAAGAAAACAATACCTCTTATGACCAGTTGAGTATAAAATAGCAAATATTTTAACATCTAACACTCAAATCTGTCCAGGTATAAACTCACCCTAGCGTTGGTTCCAGCACCCTTCACATCTCCAGTCTTTACAGAAACATGGTACTCCTGACCTCCACTGCTGGTTACGCTCCTGTTGCTCCGTGCACTGCCCGCAGGTGACACTGGCCTGGAGCGTGGTAACGCGCCCTGTGGAATGTGGGGATATCATCTGGTTACCAAATATGGGTATATCATCTGGTAACCAAATATGGGTATATAATGTAAGCTTCTAAATATCTAGTTACCAAATTAACCTGGAAACATAGAGATGTAATAATTTAAAATTTAGATTAAAACATTCTTTTGCTGCACATTGATTGATACGGTACATTAAATTATGCTGTTAAAACACCTTACGTCACAGGTATTCTCTATACGCAGATGGTAACCTGGAACTTGTTTTTGTAATACTGCTGGAGATGGGGGTCGTTGAAGGAGTTATACTCTGGCATCAGGATATTCTTACCTCGCTCTACTCTCGGGTAGGATATCTTATTACTGTGCTTCTCCTCAACAGCCTGACAAATAGTGGGCAATACGATTAACAGTATCTTCAATAATATATGGATCCTTCAACAAGAGATATTTCCAGCGAGACGGTTAATCCTGTACATGAGGTGCCTTCCAATTTATAGTAAGGATATTTATAAATGGTATAAACTACTGAGGTTAACCTTGCCTAATTTTTCGTGGTATATGACTATTTGAAATTTGTAAAAATGTTTTGTAATTTAGAGAGGTGACTGAAAGCTATACTTGTGCGCCTCATAAATTAAAGGGCACTCAATAATGATATTGTACATTGGGATCCAAAACAATCAAATATGACCAACTAATGGTATTACACTATAAATACCAACAATTGAAATAGTAATTGCAAGACTAGTCTCATACATTGTTATTTGGCAATTGATATAATTACTAAAAACTGTCACTTATAATTTCACATATAAAACAGTATCAACTCCAGTTAGTAGTATAGTAAGTAGTATTATAATCACAACCTAGAATTATATTTACAACCTCTTTGACATTTAAAGCAGCTTAAAGTTCAAGTTCCAGATTCTTGGGACGATTATATTTCCAAGCAACAGTTAAATGTACCCCAAGACGGAAACACACAAGCAACTTCCATATCGGCCGAAACAAAAGCAAAACAGAGACTGGTCACACTAAGCCACATAGGGTCTCAGAGCAGTGAATACGAAGGCGTGCGCGCCCGGTGGGTCAGGTGAACCTAACATTTCGACGGATAACCCCGCCCTCTTAGCCCAGCGTGTGGCTCATTTGTTGACTTCAGCCATATCAGTCCCATAACAACAATAAAAAAGCTGCTGGTCACAAGACGCCTCATAGGGTTACAAGAGCAGAGATACGCCTTGGGCACGTGACTGAGTCTCTCAATTAATATCGTTCTTATTACTCACGAGCTATATTGAGCTATATAGCTATATAATATTACGATCATCAGCTAAATTCCCTAATCTTTATTATTTATATTTTATTAAAATATATATATTGTTTTTCCCAACACATCTACCCAATATCAACACAATATTGAGGTGTCTTTACGAAAATCAGTTTCGAAAAGTAAATATTTTTTCTCAAACTCCCGGTCCAGTCACAAGCTGGATGAGGAACCAAAAAAATCTGGTGCGATTATAAAAAAATATTAGTGGCTGTCAAATAGGCCAAAAGTGGAGTTATATGCAGCATCAAAAGCTTTATCATACCGATCTTGCAGCATAGGGCAAGCTAGAGTGTTGATCTCCAGATTGGTACAGGTAAACGTTGAATTTGTGCCTTTTTGAAGTTCTCAGTGAATTGTCTGCCCACATTTCTGAAATAAATTAAAATCAATAAGAATGATGATATTATTTTTTGGTTTTTAAAGATAGACTCATGTATGTCCAATATCTAATTTCCATATTCCATTATACACTCTAATGTGATGAATTAATTATTAAAGATCTAAATTGATAACAAGAATGATCACGTTATACAGCATTTTCATTTTAAAATGTGTAGATAAAAATGAATTCTCAAACAATATTTATCTAGAAAATGTATTGTGGATATATCTTTTAAAACTCTCGACATACCTTTAGGATTCTCCAAGGCAAGATGATTATCCGAATGTCTTTTTAGGACAATACTGCTTGGAACTTCAATATAAAGAGGATCTTCAACAATATAGCATTGTGAACCCATTCAATTGGCTTACATCAATCTTGGAACATTTTAACTAGGAGAATATAACAGATAACTATCTTGAAATTCTACTTTGAAGTAGATTGTACATAAAAACATTAAACATTGATTTTGGGAAATAATAGATTGGTTGACTAATGAAAAATAATGATAAAAAATAAATAATCTTTTGTAGATACTCCCTGTTTCTGCGTCTTGTTATCCTCTGGTCACTAGGGTTAGCTGACTAGTGACTCCCGGGGCGAGGAAATCACTAGGGTTAGCTGACTAGTGACTCCGGGGCTGAGGAAAATTACCGACTGCCAAGGTTTGATGCAGTGGCGTAACGAAGGGCCCCTAAATTCAAACTTTCAACCAGCAATCACTTTTTACAATATATACAATGCATATGTGAAATACTTCACATTTTAAAAATACATATGTCCATTGTCCAGTTTATACAACCTGGTTTAGAGAATGGCAATCTCATCAGACTTATGGTACGGGTCACATGAGGGGAGTGATTCCTTGTTAGATATACGGTTATCCATCAAGGGAGTCACATTTGTGTGGAAACAACACTCCTGTGTCAAGTCAAAAACATCCACAATGCAATTACACTCAGTTTGTTAAATAAAGACGGTTAACTATGGCAAAGGCTTCAGTGTCTGTAATTTTGACCATTTTAAAGGCTTCACCGTCCAATTCATCGCAACCCGTCTTTAAATTTGCTGGTAGAAGTAAGGTCAGTGTGTGAAATGTACTTTATTACATCCAATCTATTTGAGACCTGTTGTGGTGTCTTCAATTTTTGAATTTTGAAGCCTTGATGTCTTTAATTTTTGTTCATTTGAAAGCTTTGTCTTTATAAAGGTCGTCTTTTTGAAACAAACAGAGTGTTAATAGAATATCAAACTTGCCTGATGAAACTGATTAAAATTTCAGCATCCCCGCAATAGTGACTGTATCAAAATTGTATATGCCACAGCAAAATCTTCACAATACAAAGCTAAGCTATCAATTTTAATTGAATTACATGGCTTGGAGAAAAGTTTGAAGATTTTCAAACCAGAGAATAAGGCCAAAAGATATGGCCGATCTGTTGTGAATTATTATATGTTGTCAACTGTCTTCTGTGGTTAATTTTCATTTGTTGTCAATATTCTTCAGTTATCAATTATTGTCATAGGGAAAGGTTTAAAGCAGAACCAGAACAAATGACAAAGAAACCAACAAACATTTCTCGTGCATTGTATAACAAAAAAGACGCTGTATTTATATTTCCACTTTTTTTTATTTGAAAATTCAATTAATTATTATATATATAAATCAAGCGTTACATTTCAGCCATTCAAAATTACAATGACATATTTTGATAAACGAATTGATAAAAGGTACTGCAATATAAGTTGCTTAATGTTTGGCCGGATGACAACTAACTAAAAGAGAAAAATAAACTTGATTACATAATAATTTGACATACGTTGCATGCCACTTTTCGCGCGCGAAGCGCGCCCCGCCGAAGGCGGAAATAATAATATCTCTGATATTTGGATACGAAACATGTATCAAATAATAATTAATTCGGCTGAACCAGCACATAGCAAGAGCCACATTAACGTTGGGGCCGTCTACCAAATTTGAATGACATACAATAACAAAAAATCAAACATATCATAAATAATTATATATGGATTTTGTTCATTACAATTCCATCACAACTGATAGAAGAAAAAAGAAGGACAAAAAAGAAAAAAGAAGGACAAAAATGAAGGCTTTAGAAATTAGTTTGCATCTGTACATGTACAGTGTAGAGTCAGGTACTATTATAGCAATTAGCACTACTAGACGAGACTAGCACTACTATTAAAATGGTCTCACCGAAACACCCACAGCCAGAAACCATAGCAGACTAGCAAATAATCTGCAAGGAAATTTTCGATTTCGGAGGAAATTTTTGGTGCCAAAGAGGAAATTTATAAAGTCTACGATTTGACTTTTTTACCATGAATTTTTTGGGGTAAAGAGAAGATTTTCTAAAAAAATCCAAAATTGTCGACAAATGAAACAGGAAAAAACTAACAGTTCTTCGATCACGAGTCCAACTCCGCGCGCGTCTTGGTAGTTTATAAACCTACAATGCAATTACATGCTGAGCGCCGCCCGCAAACAATTACATTTTACATTTATTTATTACTAGATCAGTTAATTGACGGTGTCAATTCTTCGCAGCTCGGCGAGGCACAGTAGCGCATTACGCCGACGTTGCGAGAAGCATAATCGAGTGCACGGCGCGGCAGAGTAAGGCATCGTGCTACAATTACTACAGCCGAAATTTCAGAAGCAGAATAATTTTTATGGAAATTTCGGTCAGCGCAGTATACAGACCATAAATTGAACATTGCAAAACCAAAAACAAATTATAACGGGGAAACTTCAAAACCAGACCACATTGCATGGCACGTTCATGATTTGTAGGTTTACAACCTACCAGGACGCGCAACGAGTTGGACTCGTCGCGTCGACGGTCCTGATTATAATATAATAATATATGGAACAGATATTTTACGAGTATCACCCGCGTTAAGTTCATGATTTTTGATTGAGCGCGCGCCTTTGCGAACATCAGTACTATTGAGCGGAATAGCAGTGTATTAACAATCAAACAGTATTATGGTACGTAACGTGTAATTTAATTTAGCCGATTCATGTCGATCTCCTTGTTGGAATATGAAAATGAAAATATGAAATGAGTAAAAATTTGACGTATGTCGGAAACTTACTTTGTACTCGTTTAAATCTTTTCAAAGCGTTTTTTAAAACGATCACGAGTGCTACGCTACGAAAAAGCGCGCGCCGGGCTAGGCCATATTGACAATGGACTAGTAAAAATTGCCATGGAAGCATTTTGCATTTGCAATTTTACCCTTCGCACAGGAGGACTATAGTGCAAAGAAGCTAACTGCCGCTCACAAAAGCTAACTGCTGCATGCAGTGATGGGGGAACGTCATTGCATGGGGGTGATAGACAATTTCTAAACACATATTTGACAGATTGGATGAAATTTTTGCCCGGAAATTGTAGGTTTGTAAGTTCAAAGTTATAACCTACCAAAACGCGCGCCGAGTTGGACTCGTCAACAAATATTTTAAGAGCATCACCCGTTGGCGTTATACCCGGAAATTACTAATTAGTTAATTGACGATGGTATGAAACCAAATTGATATTGGGGTACTGGAAGTCAAAATCTCGAAGAAAATTGGAAAATCAAATTGTCCCAAAGTTTGTCCTTGTCGATCATACGTTGTATGACCCACCGCGCACGAGTGCACGGCTCCCCCTGTAGCGTTGAAACTCTACAGCGAAACGACAATGGGGGTCACGACGAGATACAAGTCTGTCCCATTTTCAGTTTTTGAAGATGAAATTTCCAGGACCGAAATTTTACAGTTTTGACCGAATTTCTGACCTGCAACACAGGAGGAGCTAAGTGCAAAGAAACTGTCACTAACTGCTACAAACTGCCACTAACTGCCACAAACTGCCACTAACTGCCACTAACTGCCACTAACTGCCACAAACTGCCACTAACTGCTACAAACTGCCACTAACTGCCACTAACTGCCACTAACTGCTACAATCGCGCCCACGCATTTGCGCGCGACAGTAGCAGTTACTAGTTAGTGGCAGTTAGTGGCAGTTAGTGGCAGTTTGTAGCAGTTAGTGGCAGTTTTTATGCGCGTCGGGATTTCAAATCGAGCGCTCATCAATTTTTATAATAGCAAGTCCGCAGTTCACATAGCCATGTGCCTACGCGTACTGCGTGACGCGCTTGTTTCACGGCGGTCGCGCGCTACTGCAAGCGAGAGGGCTCTGGTTAGAGCAAAGTCCGCAGCGTTTAGAGCTGCATTGTTGATTATTGGGCAGCGCTCAGCCTGTCATTCCGCCGAATCTCTATTCATTAATGAACATGATAGCCTGAGGTTCCCAGGTAACATTGTTGACTAAACCAGACTGTGCACGTTGTGGCTGTGCTAAATGTCAAATGTTGCAGATAGCGTATACGTTTTTTAAACTATGTTTTGATTTGATTTGACTTGACTTAACTTGTAGTAAACGGTCGGCCGTTTTACAACACGGCAATATGACTGCTTGTGTTAGTTTCGACACTAAATATTTTGTTCTCGCTGCATGAGTATATAAATGTTTGATATGAATTATGAAATGAGAAGTCGTGTATTATGTAATATAATAGATTCAGAAGACTCGTGAATGTGCAAGTATATGAATATTTATATTATATTTATATCATATCCATTGAATTATATTCATGGGACCAGCAAAAGCTCACAGCTAACAGCATTTATTTTTATTTATGATAAGATGATAAGTTCATTATGAGCAATTTTTAATTTAGTTCGTATCAGGCTAGAACTCTAGTAATCGAGTTTTATTTGTTAATAAAAAAAACTTCTCTACGGTATTAGGAAAACTGCTGTGATAGACCGGAGCGCAGCAAAAAATTTAATAGCTTGTCCTGGACCGAATTCTACCAAATATTTACTACAAGTATGACACTTTTCGGATTTAGAAGGGTGCTGTCCAGACTATGAGTATGTTAACGGTGCGCGGTGATATCATTGAAGCTAAAGTCGGCACTACAAATTAAAGTAAATTATAATTTCGTCCATTAGACAGAAGAGTACCATGTCAGGAATTGGAATAGCTGTTGTTGTTGTTGTTGATGATGGCAACTGATAATACTTCACCAAAAACGAACGACTTATATACCACATTTCAATCGTAATCATTTATTTCATTGAGCAATCAATATTATTCTACTACTTGGAAGGAGTTTCTAGATGTCATGGACACGTGGTGTGACGGCGCAACAAAGAAGAAGATACTTTAATTTCGCAGTACACGTTCTACCGAGAGAAAAGAGGCTTATTCTCTACTGACGCTGCCTCAAGTTTTAGCCAAGATTCTGACGGTCTAGTCTCTTGGTGGAGCAACTTCGGTTGAGAGGTACCCGAACTACAGAGTTTTCCAATGAAAGCGCTGTCG